GCAGAATTTCATGGTCAATCACATCAAAAGCCTTTTTCAGGTCGATAAAAACACCTAAGCTGAAATTACCTTTATCAAAGTTTTCCAAAAGAGACAAGTGCAACTCTGCAATGGCTTTCTCAGTAGAGGACTTCGGAACAAAATCGTATTGGAGTTTATTAATCACATTATGTTTAATTAAAAAACTCCACATTCTATTGAACATTAATTTTTAAAATTTTTTAGAAAATACCGGTAATATTGAAATTGGTCGGTAGTTACCAAACATAGTCGGTAGTTACCAAACAGTCGTTTGGACGGTTGATATTGTCGTTTCGTCAGTTAATTTTGGTGTTTTCGTCATTAAAAGTAATCGTTTATTTATATTTTTTTGGATAGATTAACATAATTAGATCTTTGAATAATTTTATATAAAATTTAGTTTGTAAATTTTATTATTTTAGTGAAATTTGATAATATATTGTCTGTAAATTGCTGTCACGTGATAGGAATTTCCCTGATAGTAAGCGTAATTATAATAATAAATTCAATAATGTCGTGAAATTTGATAATATATTGTCTGTAAATTGCTGTCACGTGATAGGAATTTCCCTGATAGTAAACGTAATTAATTATAATAATAAATTCAATAATGTCGTCCGGTAGTCGCTACTGTTGTACGAAGTGTACAATAAAAGTTCCAAGTAAAGATTTGTTGTCATGCACTTGTTGCGAGACTTTTGTTCACAATAAATGTGAAACTAACGATGATATTCTTGAAATTTTGAAAAGTGTTAAAGGTTAAAAATGGTTTTGTCAACGCTGTCTCAAGATGTTAGTTCTTTGGCTAATTCAATGGATGCGTCTAAAAATGAATTTGTTGCTCAACTAAATGAAATAAATGATAGTAACAGAAAAATAAAACTTGACGTCGATAGCATAAAAATGGTTGTTGACCATAACCAATCTAAACTTGATGAACTTGATCGTTTCGATACTGTTTTACGTGAGGAAATTAAAATTTTTAAAAACGAAATAAAAGAAACATTTTCTAGCATTGTCAGCAAGGAAGTTAAATTGAATGTTCAAGTAATTAGAAGTGATGTCAAATCAATCCAGAAAACTTTACAAGAAGCTAGTGACGTTAAAGAAAGAGAAACAAAATTTATTGATTTATCGTTTAGCTGAAAGTGATGATGATCGTTCCAATGTTTTGAAAATTTTAAAGCATTTGACAGGAGATGTTTCTGAAAAAAATGTAATCAAAATAATGAGACTGGGAAGGAAATGCGAAACTGTCGTTAGACTCATTTTGATAAAGTTAGATTGCGTTTTACTCAGAGACTCAATAATGAGAAATTTATATAAATTCAAGTCGTTAAAAGAATTTTCACATGTTGGACTGAATTTGTTGAAATTGGATTTAACAATGGATCAGAGGCGGGAATTCAAATCATTTGTTGATAAAGCTAAAGTTAAGGAGCGAGAAGAAAACAATCAAAATTTTTTGTTCAGAGTGAGAGGACAGGTAGGGAGATGAAAGATTGTAAAAATACAGAAAAAACCAGTGTTAATATAAAATATGTCAAGAATTTAGAAATAAATGATAACAATGATAAAGACTGCAACATAATAAATCGTAATTTAACACTAGGTTTATTGAACATTAGATCAATGATTTCTAAAACTGATACGATCTATGATTTGATTCATGATGGGCTAGATATTTTCGTTTTAGTCGAAACTTGGCACGGATCTTCGAATAACATTTCTGTTAAATCATCAATAACACCAGAATATAGTTATGTTGATTTTTTAAGAATAAATGATCCTCACCATGGGGGTTTAATTATTTACTTCAGTAATGAATTTAAGTTTAAGAAAATAGATCTGCCAATATTTAGTTCATTTGAAGCACTTGCTGTTAAATTATTTATTAGCAACAAAGATTTTGTTCTATTAGCCCTCTACAGGCCAGGATCAGTTGTAGTTAGTAATTTATTTTTTGAAGAGTTTTTATGTTTACTAGAAAATATCACTTCTTTTAGTTTAAATATCATACTTTTGGGCGATTTCAACATTCACCTTGAGAAACAGGAAGATCGTCATACTGTAAATTTATTGGAAATATTAGAAATGTTTCAATTAAAAAATTTGATCGACGAACCGACTCATGAACATGGAGGTTTTTTTGATCTGATTATTTGTTCTCAAGATTTTCAGATTTCAGATATTAAGATTTTTCCCAGTGGGACTTATTCAGACCATAGTTTAATTCAGGTTAACATACCATTAACTCATAAGCGTCCTAAAATAGTCAAGAAACAAGTTAGATCCTGAAAATACCTAAATGAAAGCAATCTCATTAAATATATACAGACTTCTCCATTATCAAGGTCTTGCCAAAGCAATAATATTAATATTGAGTTTGATATGATGAATTCTGAACTCAAGAAATTGGCTGATGCAGTTGCTCCACTTCGTTTTGTAGAAGTCAGATGTGTTGTTAATGCTCCGTGGTATGATGGTGAATGTAAATCTTTCAAAAGACTTTGTCGAAAGAAAGAAAGGAATTACAGAAAATATCAGACAGAGAAATGTAAAAATGAGTGGATAACAGCTCTGAAAAATAAATCTAGGCTTTTTTCACAAAAGAGAAACAGTTATTGGAAAAGACTTGTAGCAGACAATAATGGATCTTCTAAAAATCTATGGAATGTTATTAATAAAGTCCTTTGTAATCAGGTCACTGGTCAGTCATTGAGTGAAATTGTTGGTTTAGATTCGTCTCAATTCTTAAAGTTTTTTAATGATAAAGTAAATAAAATTAAACAGTCTACCAATGTGAGTAATTGTCCGACTATTTGTCAAGCTCAGTACAATGGGAATTATTCTTTTCCTGACTTTATGCTTTTAACAGAATCTGACGTTAAAAAAATTGTACTCAGTTTGCCATCAAAAACATGTATGATAGATGTCTTTCCGACCCATATTTTAAAGAAATATATTGATTTATTCATCGTTTTTCTTACCAGCATCTTAAATCTGAGTCTGAGCAGTGGCACATTTCCTAATGGTTGTAAGCATGCTATGGTTTATCCAGCATTAAAAAAAGTGAATATGGATCGAAATGATTTGTCTAGTTATAGACCAATTTCCAACATCTATTTCATTTCCAAGATATTTGAACGAGTAGTTGCCAAACAGCTCTTGAATCGTTTGAATGTAAACAACCTGCTACCAGTTCACCAGTCTGGATATCGCCGCTATCATTCAACGGAAACTGCACTGCTTTATGTGTTTTCTGAGTTGTTTGCTGCTTTGGACAAACAACATGTGGCTCTAGTCGCGTTTTTAGATATGAGTGCGGCATTTGATTGTGTAGACCATCAGATTCTCTTGGAAAAATTGGTTCATGATTATGGTATTTCCGGTACTGTTATCAAGTGGTTCAAATCATATCTGTTTGACAGAAAGCAACAAGTAGTCTTCAATAATGTGTTATCTAATGAAACGGTTTTGACATCAGGAGTGCCTCAAGGTTCAGTGCTTGGGCCTATTCTTTTTATCATGTATACCGCTGAAGTTTTTAAAGTAATTGGTAATTTCGGTTTTAAATATCATGCCTATGCTGATGATATTCAGATTATAGTTAGTAGTAAGCCAGAATTACTGCAATCTGAAATCAACAAATTTGTAACCTGCCTAAATAACATAGATAATTGGATGTCAAACAATGGTCTTAGATTAAATCAGCAGAAGTCAAAATTTGTTCCAATAGGTACATGGCAGCAGCTGATGAAACTTAATATCGATTCAGTGAAAATAGGAGATGTTAAAATAGAATTTAGTGACAAAGCAACTAATCTGGGTTTCATTCTTGATTCTTGATTATCGATGCATGATCATATAAAGATGATAACGAATTCTTGCTCCGGACAGATTCGAAAACTCTATAAACCCCGTAAGTCATTAGATAAATCTGCTATTCATACCTTGGTGCATGCATTGGTTCATTCACGATTGGACTATTGCAATGGTCTGTTTTACGGTTTGCCAGATAGGTCTATTTCTGCAATTCAATCTATTCAGAATAGAGCAGCCTATTGATTGTTGGAGGTCTCAAATTTAATCATGTTACTCCAATTCTTAAGAGCCTTCATTGGCTTACTATAAAGAAAAGAATTAAATATAAAATATGTATTTTAATGTATAAAACTGTGCATGGCTTGTTACCAAGTTATTTGATAGATAAAATAAAAGAAAAGTCTATAATGATGAGTGGTATGAGCCTTAGATCAAATGATGGCATTTTGCTGGTTGTACCTGATGTCAATCTGCAGATAGCATCAAGAGATTTTGCAGTATCTGGACCAATGGTTTGGAACAGCTTACCGAGATCTTTTAGAACTAAAGATTTGAAACTTGATGATTTTAAGAAGAAACTTAAAACTTACTTATTTTCGTTTTGATTTTGTTGTTAAGTGAATAATTATTTGTTTGTTACTACCGCCATTGACTGTACTTTTTTCTTTTTTGACTTTGTTTGATTATAGATAGCGCTTTTGAGAACTTTTTGATTTTAATTAGCGCTTATAAAGGTTTCATTAATAATAATAATAATAGTCGAGTCGCCACTTTTGAAAATTGGTAAAACCTTGGCTATTTAATCAAGTGCCGTTTTCCGCAATGTCAGATTGCTTTCGTCAATAATATTTGTAAAATTCAGAGATTTTATCTTAACTTTGCAAATGTCAAAAAAAGTCTTTTTTATGGCACTAAAAATGAGGTTAGCTCCACCACTGGGGCTGCAATCCACCAGAGTTCAGTGCCGGTCCTAAGTCCGGGTAAAGGAGGAGAATTGACAGGAGCTTGCTACACTGTTTTAAAAACACGATGGTAAACACAACAGCAAATAATCATACCGGCTCGGTCGTCGCCGGAACAACAAGGACCGCATTGCAGCTTTGGAGACAAGGAGCTACAGAGAAAAGTTTGTTACTGAGTTCCAAAGAGGTAAAATGAAGGTGAAATTTACAGTTGGAATTCGGAATGTGAGGTCACTGTGGCAAGCTGGAACTTATGCGATGCTGAAAAAAGAGCTTGAGAGGTTTAGATATGATGTGGTTGATTTGTGTGAAGTTAGATGGACAGGAAGTGGAGAATTGGAAAAAGGAAAACTGTTATGGTCAGGCACAGAAACCGAGCATATTCATGGAGTCGGAATGATTTTTGGAGAGAAAGCAAGAAGAGCATTAATTGAATACAATCCCGTAAATGACAGGTCGATGTATGCCAGATTCAAAGGATATCCAAGAGATATTATTGTGATAGTTGCTTATGCTCCAACAACAAATCATTCGGATGATGAAGTTGAAACGTTCTACGAACAACTGAAACAAACATTGAAAACATTACCAAAAAAAGATGTCAAGATCATTGTTGGGGACTGGAATGCTAAAATTGGAAGTGACAACATTGGATTTGAAGAATTAATGGGAAAATACGGTGTAGGAGATAGAAATGATAGAGGGGAAAGGTTACTAGAGTTTGTGAAGGACTGACGATTGTATGTCACAAACACAAAGAGGCAAAGCAACAAAAAATGTACTTGGGAGTCACCAGACGGAAAAACAATGAACATATGTTGTTATAGATTTAATACTGATAGAACAGAAATGGATGAAATTTGTCACCCAATGTAAAGCTTTCCCAAGTGCAGAAATTGGATCGGATCATCGCCTTGTCTTATGCAACGTTACAATGAAAATAAAACAAAAGCTTAAAATGGGAGAAAGCATTAGCAAAGTGAGATACAATACCGAAATGATAAAGCTGAAGATGGAGGATATAAAAAATAAAATCGAACATGAATTGGACTCAGCAGCCAATTACGATATGAAAACAAGAGTTAGCAACCTAGAAAAAATTCTCAAAGCAGCAGGTGAAAGTTGTAAAATCAAAACGAAATGGACAAAATAAAACTGTGGATAAGCGATGAAACATGGAACATTGTAGAAGAAAGATGAAGTTTGAAAATGATAAAAAGACAGAGTGAAGAAAATAAGATGAAATACAAATCTGCCAAAAAATAAAAAAGAGTGCTAGAGCAGATAAAAGGAGATGGATTAATGGTAAATGTGAAAAGGTAAACACGATGATTGGGCAAAACAAGACAAGAGAGGCGTACCAGCTGGTTAAACAATTAAAAGGAAAACCGAAAAATATGTCTATGATTATTAAAGATAAAAACGGAAACATCTGTTAGGATGATGAAAGATTAAGGATAGATGGACTGAACATATTAAAGACTTATTCACAGACAAGAACACATACAAAAAAAACGCTTGAAATTTTGAAAAGCAGAAAAATAATCAATGAAGAAGAAAGTGAAATAACGAGGTAAGAAATTACAAGAGCAATGAGTAAAATGAAGAACAACAAAAGTACAGAGAAGGATGGTATTTCGATAGAACTAATAAGAGCAGGAAGTCAAGTCGTGTGTAAAGAAATTCACACAATCTGTCAAGAAATTTGGGAAAGTGGAAAGTGGCTAAAAGAATGGTACAAGTCAATTTTGGTTATGCTGCCAAAAAAGGGAGACCAAAAAGACTACAATTACAGATCAATTGCACTAATTCCGCACATATGCAAGATCATGCTGACTATCATAAAAGAACGACTGAAAAAGTTTATAGAGCAACATCTGCATGAAGACCAAACAGGCTTCAGAAAGAACAGAAGCACGATCCAACAAATTCTGATTTTGAGACTGCTGTTGGAAGATGCAAAAAGTAGCGGTCAGACAATTTACCATTGCTTTGTTAATTTTAAGAAAGCGTTTTATTCTGTCTGGCATGAAGGTTTGTGGGCAACATTAGAAAGTATGGGGACATCAGAAAAGCTGGTCAAAGTACTGAAAGGGCTTTATGAAAAATCAAAAATGTCGGTAATAATAAATACAGAACTTGGGGATTGGATAAAGGCAGACATTGGAAGCAGACAGGGCGATTCAATATCACCAATACTATTTATAGCATTACTATAAAGAGCAATGGAAAAAATGGAAAATTCGGAATTGGGTGGAATTGACATAGGAAGGAGAACCGTCAAAGATCTCGGTTTGCAGACGATATAGACCTTCTAGCTTCTAGTGAAGAAGGTCTACAGAAACTAATCGAACTAACACATGTAGGTGGATAAGATCACGGGTTGCATATCAACAAAAACAAAACGAAGGTGATGATTACGGGGAAAGGCAGAAACAAAGCGGAATTTCAGATAGAATCAGAAAAATTCGAACAAAATTTCTCGGAATGATAATCAAGGACAACCTCTCGTGAGATATGCATATAGACTCGTTATCGAAAAAAATTAATAAAACCATAGGTGCAATTAATAAAATTAAAGTAAGATTGAATAAACCAGCAATTATAGATTTGTATTATTCATTAATCTATCCACATCTAATATACTGCAACATCATCTGGGGAAACAGCCCTGAAGTTCACTTGGAGCAAATTACCAGATGTCAAAATCGTTTCATCAGAATTCTATTAAATCTACATCCATATAGTCATGTCGGCTGTTATTATCCTGAACTGAAAACTCTAAACATAAAAAATTTGTATAATTATCATGTTTTTATCTTTGTGTTCATGTTCCTACATTATCAATTACCAACATCTTTTAATGACTTCTTCGAATTTGGAAACGCTGTGCAGTCAAAGTTCACTCGACATTCTCCTCTGCTCTATACACCACCTGCAAGAATAACACCGCTTGGCGAAAGTTTAAAACATACCGGTCCCGGAATCTGGGAGAAACTTCCTGTTGATATAAAGACTACAAATTCCTTGCATTTGTATAAAAACAAAATAAAGAAATATTTATTGAAAAAAAGTTCAATTTTTATTTAATTAGAATCATGCAAATTGTGCATTATGTTAATTTTGTCATGAATTATAAATTTACTTAAAAAATTGTGTTAGAATGAACAATTTGTGAACGATGGCCTGCGACACAAGAATTTTGTTTTCTTTTAGTTTTGGTCTCCCAATCATTACCTAATTATTATTAATTTGGATTGATTGAATAAAATTTGAATTGATTTAATGAGGAAAAGAGATTGGAAGAAAAAAATTGGTAGACCTGCAAAGAAATCTATAGATGACATTACTGAATGGACTGGTGTTGTTATTCTGAATCCAATAAAACTGGCCAACGATAGAAAAGGTTTTTGGGAAGAAAAAAGGAAAAAATAAATGTAAAAAGCATGCTTAGATGTACACCATCGGCCTCGACGGTCCCCCGATGGACATAGGAGGATCATTGATTGATTGATTGTTGATTGTGTTGTTATCATTTTTGTTATTATCATCATAGTTAGATTGCTGGTTGATCCGATTAACGTTATTGTTGTTAATTCTTCGAGTTGGAAGTGCTGTTGTGATTCGTTGTTGGATGTTGAAAGAAGGTTTTTCAGATTCGATGAAAATAGCTTCTGCAATTCTTAGGGTGTAGTGCTGTTGATTGTTGTATAGAATTTTTGTGTTATATATATATATATATATATATTTATTTATTTATTTATTTTGGAACGAGATTTTCAGCTATGCAGATTTCATTGAATATTTTTGCCCACTTCGCGTTAATTAACTTTTTAAAAATACAGTCAACTATATGGAATTGTTGTAAATCGTATTTATTGAGAACTAGTGACATAATTTGGCTGGCTAACAACGTTGTTTTGGTGTAAACACCATCTTCAGAGCCTTGTGTGAGATACAAATATTAATAATAAAATAAATGGAAATGTAAACCATATAGAATAAAATAAAATGCAATAGTACCTAAAATGTTACGTGTTGTGATTTAAAACAGGCGAAATGAAACAGATATGAATAAATAATTTGAAGAGTTACGTTAAAGCAAAATGTTACCTTGTAATGCAGATGAAATTGAATAATTAGTGAAATAAGTTATAATTTAATATTAAAATAAATAAATAGATGCATATTTACGTGAAACAACTAAAGTAATTTAAAGTAATACAGCGGTAAGTAAAAATGTTTGCAGGATAAAACGACTGTATGTGTGGAATTTGCACGAGGTATGCAGTTTTATTGTATTTTATTGTATTTAGTTGAACGGACAGTATGAATGTATATTATCGAAATGGGTATAAGTGTTGTACATGTGTAGGAAAGTATCCAATGAGTATGAAAGTATGCATGATAAATGTGTATACACATGTGTAAAAACTGTATTAATATTAAATATCAAATAGTGGGGCCAGCGACGTAGCGACTGTTGTTTTAGGACGTCGGGTCAAAAACTGCACATTAGCCGGTTTGAATGCATCCAACGTCGAACAATACTCGTATCGTTGTTGTGCGCAGTGACGACCTGGATCTTCATCGAAAACGACAGTGGGTGTGAGGTCGCGGTATTGCGAAAATAGCTTTTGCAGAATTAAATTTATAACCACTTTAATATTCACACGGAAAACTTTTATAAACCATGTTTTAATTAGGAATTGCGATAAAAATTTAATGAATATAATAGTAATTGTTTTAACAAATAAATAAACAATTTAATTCGCAACACAAAACAAGCGTAAATGAACAATATAACCACGTGGAAATACTTTGCATGCAGATAGCCAACTTTTTGCTTTGCATGCTAGCTAGCCACCTAGCTGAAAAGTAAGCTCTGTGATGATGTACAGTGAGCTATCCAGAAGAGAAGTTTATTGAGACATCCATAATTTATTAATGAAAATTTAACATTAGATGAGCATGCTTGATTCTATGCAGGCTTTTAAAATAATTTCGGCCATAGTACGTCATAGCTTATCTTCGACTAAAGGGTCCAGAATATCTTCGACTAAAGGGTCTAGAATTTAATTGCTATCAAAGAAGTCCATAATGTCGGTTAAGTGATTTTTATCTTTATAGATTTACCAAATCGAAGTTACTAAAATATATTTGGTGTATAAAGCTACGATAAATGTTCATATATCATGTTCCAATAAATTACACATTTCAATTGAATGTAATGTAAATTTTTTTATTCATTTGTTTATAAATGCAATTTAACTTTCAGTACCTATATTAATATTTACTATTCATTTTTTGTTTATGATAAAACAATTTCATTGTTTATTGCGATTTGTTTGCTATGTTGGCTTGGTTTGGATTTTTAATTGGACAATGATTAGATGAGGTTTTATGATATAATAGTTTTTAAAAATTAATTCAGCAGAGAAAAGCGGGGAAAAATCAAGTTTCAGTTCAATCATTGAACACAATGTTGCAAACAACAATATTTATAAAACTGGTTGTGACGATTTTGATTATGATACAATGATGCAGGTAAATATTTATATAATTGTTGTATTTTTATTTTTTAATATTATTATAGGATTTTTTGCTCAATTAGTAACATTTTTCACTTTTGCGTCATAAAACTATTTAAAAAAAGATGATGCTGAAAATTATCACTTGATATTAAAATTTAACACCAGACTCACCATATTAATAATGGCTAAAGATTAGTTTTTTATCAACGAAACACTTTGTGGAATAATATCCTGACTTAAGAAACTGGTAAACAATTTTTTCAGCCTAAAAACTAAGAGTTTTTTTTCAATTGTAGAACCTCATGGATGATCAATGAAGATAAACATGTTTTCTTAAAAAGTACGTTGTTATCTACAAAAGTTGATTGAATCCAAACACGAAAACATTTAGGAGTGTTATTTCATAGCTAATAAAAAATAATTATCTGACTATTTCTCCCTCACTTACGAAGTTCAGAGCGAAAATAGCTCTTTACAAACCAATTGTTTGATTGAAATCAGTAAATGGTACATAGCAGCCCATAGTTTTCAACGTCATTTAGCAGATAAGTTTAACAACGTTTAGTAATGATAAGGCTTTTGATAAATCAATTAGTGATATCTCGTTTTGACTGTTTCATTCGAATTTCATCAGATAGACAAAATATGAAATGTAATTCAATTGTCATCTGCTAAGTCTTGTAGTCCAATGGTTATTCTCGAAAAGTTTTTAGAAACATTACTGCCATTTTTCCAAGTTATTGTTATATCCGCTGGAGTAGTCGAGTTGTGCTATATGATTAGTATCTTAATTATTTGTTATCTTGGTTTTTTTTGCTATGTTTTTTATTGATTGTAAAACTGTATATAAGCGGAGTTATGCAATGTAAAAAATAGCGAGGTTAATAGCGAGGTAAATAATGAAGTTAGGAGCGAGGTTGTAGTGTTGATTTATGTAGTTATGATAATGCGTATTTTTTGGATTAGTGAATAATTTAGTATTTTCATCACTAAATTCAAATAAACGTTTGAATAAGTTTGTATTTGAAGCAGTTGAGTTTGTCTATCAGAAATTTTGAACCTACGGAATCGATAACTTGACGATAGTGCAAGCTATAGCACTGGTGTCAGGAGCAGGATCTTTGAAGTTACAACACTGGTGACGATTGTTGAGGTTAACAAAATTGGAACAGAACGTCAACAAAATCGTTTATTCAAGCTCTTTGAGACCTAAGTGTGAGATATGATTTCACAATCTGAAAGATAAAAACACTAAGAGGAATCTTGGAGCAGTATATGATATCGCAAAATTGATTTTGAAGAACAAATGTTGGAATCAGCAAAGTTGATGTTTAAGAAGGACACAACCAATGTTGTCGGATTGTCCCAACCATAGGAGACAACAAACCACCAGAATGCTTGAACAGCGGAAAAATAGGCATATCAGGAAATATTACGAAAGGCTCAAGAAAAGTAAAGCTTATCGAGGTATCGATGCGGGAAAACAGACTCTCGGACAGATGTCAGCCCTACGTTTGAATAGTCTTTAGCTAACATCAGGAGACGAGTAAAAGAAGATGTAAAGAGAAAAGAGGATGTAAGGGCACTTTCCTTAACAACAGACAGGATATGGACAGCCGTAAAACTGGCTGCGCACAACGTGGAAGGAAGCCGGCCAGAAATCAGTTTGGCAAAACATCTCAGAACACGGTCGGTCCCATGTCAAACTACTACTGGGCCCAGTTAGATTCACTGAACTTAAAGGACAGGCTCCTTCAGCGTAGATGAGAATCTGCAGACGGATCCAACCACATCATGCAAACCGGATACATAGAGTAAAAACAATTGATGTTCTGAAAGAAACACATAGAGAACTTTCTGGAGGTCACCTAGGAGTCAACAAATTTGAAAGAAATTTTATTGAATTTGCGCCCGTGTAGACGTGGAAAGTTGGTGCCGGAATTGCACCAATGCAGGTCTACAATATCAGCGCTCCTTTTTAAAAGGATTGCTGTAGACATTGCGGGATCGTACTCTGAATCAAAAAAGGGCAATCGGTACATCTTGATCGTTGCTGGCTTTTTTATCAAATAGCTGGAGGTGTATTTGTTACTCAAATAGGAAGCTCGCACGGTTGCAGATGAAATCATTACGAACTTAATAAACTTTTAGGCGTTCCTAAGGAAATACATTCGGATCAGGTTAGAAACTTTGAATCGCAACTATTTGTGGAACTGTGCCGGGTCTTGAAAATAAATAAAACACGGACTAAGCTACTTCTCCACCAGTCCGACGAAATGGTGAAGCGCTTCAAGCATCAAGCACCTGACCGAAGTTGACGAAGAGAATCAGCAAGACTGGGACCTGTAGACTCTGCCTGGTGGCATATTGGAAAGTCCGTCCATGATCATTTTTGGGTGTATTTCCATACACCAAGTTCTGATGTAAAATTAACGTGAGCAGACAGAGTCAATGGTAATTCATTAACTGAAGAGATTCCAAATGAAGATAATTTTACGCTAGTTCAATGCAATAAATCTAAATACTAACCGGGAACACTTTTTACAGCTGTCATTA